GGAACTCTTCATAATAGGACTTCCATCAAAATGAACACCGTACGAGGATAGATCGCTTTAGCTATTCAGCAATGTTACAAACACTATATTTATGTTTTTATTGCAGGTGATTGTTGTCGAATCAGGTAAGATGTAACAATAATATTATTTAAGTAGATCTTCAATATATTTGAAGTGCTGCACAAATTACAAAGTGTTTTCTCTCATAGCCCCTCCCTGAGTTTTTAGTGGTCCATCCATATATCTGTTCTACAAGCTCTGAATTGAGTCCTTAGTGTTAATATGTTATTTTAGTACAAATATTGAAATACGATTAAATACTATAACCAAATAATATTTACAGAAAACATGCCTATTTAATTTGATGTCACTATTTATTGATTTTGAATATATTTCATATTTTCAATATTAATTAAAACTCAGGTTCTATATTTTATTAACATACAGAAATTGATGCAGATCCAAAACAAATTATGAGTAAAACGTTGTGAACACATTTTCAAGTTATTATAAATAACAAATGTCTTACTATTTATTCGTGCTAGGCGTCACACATAGTGTTACACAGATGGGGATTTTAGTTGATGAATCATAAAGTGAACTGAGTGCACCGTGTTGAAATAAAAAATTTAAACATTTTTACTTTATTATATCAGACTGAATCTCTTAAATTGTTTTTAGACTCTGGAAAAACAAGAAAAAAGTAATAATAAAAAATACCAACCAAAGCAAAATTGAGGAAATTTCATTTATGCACATAAATTTTATTTATTTCAGTCGATCGTCAATACTTGAACCTCCTGCTAAAACACAAATTGAACTCCACTCATTTATTAAATTGATGCATTTCAGTTGTGAATACTTGCTGGGCATTTGTGGCAGTGACAGTCTAATATTAGTGCATGTCATATTGACATTCAAATGGATCAAATGAAATTACCCCCCAAAAAAATCAAGTGAGATGAGATCTTAAGCACAAACGACTTGTTCCCGACAACAGTGTGTGTTACTAACACTGGATTTATTGGTACTAAAAATAAAAGTATAGTCTTTATTTGTAAGTCATATTATTATGTGCGTTTTATCAAAAATGTTGGGCTTACGAGAAAAATTTTAATTAAAAAAAAGTGACTTTAATTAACAATTTGATATTTCCAACCTATTTACTACTGTTCCACATGATAAATCAAAGATACAGTTTAAAACATTTTTAATAGAATTGTTTTATTCGCTACAAACTGATACTTGGATATGTTTTCACCTGTTTTGCTAACAAAAAAACTTGTGCGAAATATTTCTACACTGAAGACAAAATTATGACAGTACGACAGTGTGTAGTATACTTGTCAGTTGCTTTGTTTTGTTTGAATCTTAGATTTTTCTATACGACTTTTGTTTAAAGATCTATGGTTGTGTATGTTATCTCCGCCATGGTGTTCTTATTGAGTTTAGAAATGCACATTAATTGGAAGAATATATTCCACAAATTATACATACAAAATACTAGCTGTATTATGTTTTAGTGTTACACCTTATACGTCGTTGATTATTTTTATCAGCGCACAAACATTAATTATGAAACAACATAATATGGAACAATGCGCACATCAAGATATCTATTCTAAATCAACTCGCAACGGGCAAGGTTATAATGTTTGAGCTATGTTCCAGTGTTATGTTCTTAGATTCCTTCAATTGCTTTATTGGTAGGAAAACAACCACACATTGTGCTAATACTAGCAGAGGATCTAGGGTGGAATGACGTAGGATGGCACAATGCGGATCTGAAGATGCCTATCCTCAATCACCTCGCTGCTGATGGCGTCATATTCAACCAATCATACGCCCAGCCTGCGTGTACACCGTAAGTGTCAACACTATTAATGTTGCCGGTATGTAGTTATAGATTGTACAGTCAATTTTACTATCAACAAATCACCCGTACATCTGTTTAATTATGTTTGCATGTATGTCTCATTCTTCAGATCAAGATCTGCTCTATTTACTGGTTATTATCCTTTCAAAATTCAAAGACAGGTAATTTGTTTATTGGAACATTTTAATTATATTTGACAACATTTTAGTTTGTCTATCATGTACAACTGAATTTCTAGTATACGCAATAGATACAACGTTAAGGACAAAGCTTATGGTCCGAAGAATGTTACATCCCCTGTTGATTTGGCATGATGAAGATGTAGAAAACTTGTTCAGGGGGTAGCATTCAAGCAATTTATTTTCATAGAACGATTATTTTGAACCATATCAAATTATATATTTGATTAAAGTTTATAAATCACACTAAGTACTAGTTTGTCTTACGTTTGATGCAACAATTATGTGGTTACATTTTTGTTCCCACTAAAATATGTTTTTACATTACAAATTATTACAATGCGTTAATTCCAAAAAATTCTGGCGATGTATTGATCATAATTACCACATCTACAATCTTTGAAACGATTATGATGGGTGCCCGTCAAGTAGAACTCATTTGAGTGATATTTTTTATGTCAGATTTAGGATATACACTAATTCGCATATTCATAGATTATTATTGATTATTTAATTGTTCATACAATTTCTTGTGAGCAATGTTTGACAAGTATCTAAACATGACTGTGTTTATTTTATTATTGAAAATACATGCAAATATGCACATTTCGAAATAACAAGTTGTCATTTTGATAATCGATTGCCATTCATGATTACTTCTTAGAATAAAAGTATAAAACATTCATTTTGAATAACATGTGGCACAATATTCTACTACACTTTAGTTTTTATTATTGTTATTTACAGCATCAAATGCTGTTCAGTCTTGAAGCTGACGGGCTTTCATTAGATCTTAAGATATTACCAGAAATGCTGAAAGATGTTGGGTATATTACTCACCTTATCGGAAAGTAAGTAGACTACAGAACACATTAGCTGAATTTAAAAAATGCATATGTTCTGTTGTACTGTGGGTTCGTGCGATTACAAAATTAAAATCAAAATATATATGAATTTATATATTTAGCCAAATGTGTAGATTTTGCAGTGTTGTCAAACACAGAACAGCAAGGCTATTGAACACCAAAAGCAGTAAAAGGAAAATCTAAATGATAACAAGTAACCTGTAGAATGCTGTGTGGGTACTATATATTGATTTTTGTTGCATTTGCAGCAAATAGTTACCAAACAATGAGAAATTCATTGGATTGGATATACCTCTCAGCTGGCTTCAAATACATAGTTCAAGCCTGCCTAACCGGTGCTTATACCAGAATTTAGTTACAGCACCTAGACGGCCTGTGGTTACAGCTTCATGTTCCGAGCAAACGCAAGAAATTGACATTACAATAGAAAATAAAAAAACTGGCACTCCCATGCAATTAATAGCAAGTGAAATTCCTGGAATTGAAACATATATTTTGAAGTCACTGATGATGTAGGCAATGAATAACTTCAAGTTGGCATAAAGACGAGGTAGTTTATTTAACCAGTGCTGAACTAGAAGCTGAAATTATAATTAAGTTCGTTGTCATATAATTTGTTTATTTCAATTTCTCAAATACATGTAGAATACATCGGTGCATGGATGTTTTGGGGTGTAGTTTACACTGTGTATGGAATGGTAGGGTTGGGTGTAATATAATTTCCAACTCTCATGAAGTCACATAGAATTTCACTTAATTTATTTTCGTTTTCAAGCATTACGTGTGAATCCAATTTTCACTGTGCTGTGTCGAGTCTCAATAGAGTATGAGGAAAATGACATTTTCACTGGAATTTATTTTAGCGGGTAAATGTTTACAGTGAAAATGAAGTATTTCACATTATTACATATGTACTGCAGTCTTTTTTATTCGTCCCTGAAATCAAAATCGGTATTTCCACACCACATATGCAAATGAGGTCTGAGAGCAAACAAAGTAGTTCTTTCAGGAGTAGCGTTTTTTTTTAAACATAGCAGAAATAAACTATATTTAGAAGTACGATATTTTACCCTTGGGTACATGAATACACTTGCCGAGTGAAATAGAATTTGAACAACAGTAATGGCACTTCTAGGCAGTCAATTAGTTTTACTAAAATTAAACTGCATATCACCATGCACTAATGTTTTTGGTATTTTCACGGGCAATATGCAAATGAACATGGTATTGGCGATCCGCTCCTCTGCGATTGCCCTTAAAATCACAATTGTGTGTCTTGGCTTGGCCGATTTCGCTCACTCTTAGCAGGTAGGTTACACCTTCATTAGTATGTAAATGTATCTCCTCCAACAAATTTAGGATACAACATCTCTGACATAGCTCATTTTACTTAGCTTGAGTGTGGGCACAAAGTTTTGTATAATCTGAAAACAAATTTTGACCACCGTTTCCATGGCAACAGCCAAAAACTGATTCTTTTGATACCTTCACGCCAAATGTATCACACCCTACATATCTATGATTAAAAAGCATGGACGTAGCTAATTCTACTCAGCTTGAGTGTGGGTAACAATTTACTGTTTTTTTTTTTTTGTCTATTTTCATTACCGAGAAAATGGACCCCAACGTTGGGGTAACTTTTCACCAGCAACAGCTTTTAATTCCTCTCTGAGATTTGTTTTGGCTTAGCTAATTTTGTCCATACATGACAGGCAGGTCGCCCGTCACTAATTGGAAAAACAATCCTGGCCCACAGCTACCATGGCAACAGCCAAAAACTGTTTTTTTTAATACTTTCGCCCCAAATGTATTACCTCCTACCAGTCTTGTAATAGCAGTGTTTAAATGATCATGCCTTTTATTGTGGCTACGTTGTACTCCGGCGCCGATATTGTTACACTGTGTCAACGTAATTTCAACGCAACTTTGAATGAAATGTAAATGCTGCCTTCAATCTAGAAAATACTGACGAAAAACGGTTGGAAATAATACATTTAACGGCAGAATACGTCCTAGCAATAAAATAAAGTGACTTCTAAAGACTGAATGTTTTTTGCGAACTTCGTATACGGTGCCCGGTTTGATGA